CATGAATGATGGACCAAGGGGGTCTCAGTGCCCTGAGCTGGAGGACCATGACTGCAAGAATGATCAACTCCCAGTTAACCCTGAAATTGTGCTGGATCTGCTGCTCCATCTGGATCCCTATAAATCTCTGGGGCCTGATGGGATTCATCCCAGAATCTTCTAAGGTCTGGCTGATGTCATTGCAAAAGCTCTCGCAATGATTTTCAAGCAGTCTTGGGAATCCAGAGAGGTCCCAGCTGACTGGAAGCTGGAAAACATTGTCCCAATTTTCAAGAAGGGCAAGAAAAAGACTCCAGAAACTTCAGGTCTGTCAGTCTCATTTCCATGCCTGATAAAGTTATGGAGAAGATTATTCTGGGAGGTATTGAAAAACACCTGAAAGACAACGCAGTCATTGGTCACAGCCAGCACGACTTCATGAGAGGAAAGTCCTGCTTATCAAACGTGATTTCCTTTGATGACGAGGTAACCCACCTAGCTGATCCAAAGGAAGCCAGTTGATATAATCTTTCTGGATTTCAGTAAAGCTTTCGGTACTTTCTCTCACAGGATCCTTCTGGTTAAACTGTCCAGCACAGCTGGATAAACACATCATGTGGAGGGTGAGCAATTGGCTCAGGGGTGGAACACAGAGGGTAACAGTGAATGGGGTAACAACAGACTTTGACCTGTCACTAGTGAGGTTCTGCAGGGCTCCAACTTAGGCCCTGCTCTCTTCAACATCTTCATGAATGACTTGGAAGCAGGACTGGAAGGGATACTGAGCAAGTTTGCAGATGACACAAAGCTGTGAGGAGCTGTTGACTCCCTCGAAGGCAGGGAGGCCCTGCAGAGAGATTACAACAAGTGGAGGACTGGGCAATCACCAACCATATGAAGTTCAACAAGGGAAAGTGCCAAATTCTACACCTTGGATGGGGCAACCCTGATGTACATACAAACTGGGGAATAAGATGCTGGAAAGCAGTGCCATGGAAAGGGACCTGGGAGTCCTGGTCAGTGGCAAGTTGAATATGTCAGCAGTGCCCTGACAGCCAGGAGGGCCAACCATGTCCTGGGAGGCATCAGGCAAAACATTGCCAGCTGGTTGAGGGAGGTGATTGTCCTGCTCTGCTCTGCACTGGTGCAGCCTCACCTTAAATATTAGGGCAGTTTTGGGCACCACAATATAAGAAAGATATTAAGCTCTTAGAGAGTGTACAGTGGAGGGCAACAAAGATGGTGAAGGGCCTTGAGGGGAAGCCATAGAAGGAGCAGCTGAGGGCACTTGATCTGTTCAGCCTGGAGAAGAGGAGACAGAGGGGAGACCTCGTCACAGTCTACAAGTTCCTCATGAGGGAAAGAAGAGGAACAGGCACTGATCTCTTCTCTGCAATGATCAGTAACAGAACCCAAGGGAATGGCCTGAAGTTATATCAGGGGAGGTTTAGGTTAGCAGATCCTTCTGCCCTACCAAGGGTAGAGTTGGGTACTGGAACAGGCTCCCCAAGGAAGTGGTCACAGCACCAAGCCTGACAGAGTTCAAGAAGTGTTTGGACAATACTCTTGGGAACATGGTGTGACTCTTGTGGATGGTCTTTTTAGGGCTAGGAGTTGTACCCGATGACCCTTTTGAGTCCCTCCCAACTTTGCATCTAATTCTGTGATTCTGAGACATCTTGTTATTCCCTGAAGACCAGTGACAGCAACTTCGTCCTCACATTTTGCACAATACACAGGTACAAGTGAGTGCTCTGTTGAGCCATCAAAACAGAACATAGGTTTTAGATGTGTATAGACTTTGTATAAAGCAGGAAATCATACACAGCTCCAAAATTCATGATCCAGTCTCTGCTCACATAGCTGAAATAACTTTTGCCATCTTTCCCTTGATGTATGATGAACAATGTGAAAAACTGCTATTTTTATTTTCCTTCTAAAGCATTTGTGTCCTGCTGCACAGCCTTTCCTGAAACTGTTCTTCAGTGGCACCACTTATAGTTGCTGTTTTATTTCTTCTCATAGCCTGGTCATTTGCCTGAAACGGAAAGATATAAAACAAAAATACAGCTGGGAGAGTGTTAGCATATTATGATAATGGTCTTAACTTTGGTTTAGGGAGTGCATAATCTTTTGTGGCTGATGGTTTGTAGGCGTTAAGGGAGAAATCAGAATTAATATTCTTGTGGGTCTCCTGACTTAACATCTGTTATGCAGTTACTTCAGGCTTTGAGAAAGCAGATTCCAAGATCCAGCAGTGCTTCAGTGCATCAATATGCATTAATATATAGCAAGATTTTGGCAGTGTTAGAGTATATAAACAGTTTAATCTTCCTTTAGCTAAGAAGAAAAAATATTTGAGGAATATAGACCCATGCTGGCATGCAAGGATTGCTTAAATAATTGCAGAAGATATTACATGTGAAATGAAATTTGTACATGGCTATAATACATATGATAGCAGGCAAACAGCTGGAATTTATGTAGATTCATATATGTTAAGGTATGAATATGCAGTATTTTATAAGACTCCAAAACCAAGTGTATGCACAGATGTCAGAAGAAAATTGTCAACCTGCTTATCACATTTTAAACAAGACTACAGCAAGGCAACAGTTATTGCAACAATAGTTTGAGAGAAGGTCAGAATGTTAACAAATTAAATAAATTTTTCATTTTCAATTTTTTAAATACTTCCATCTCATCACAGGAAGAGCTTGGAAATAATTTTTTAAAAATAATTTTAAAATCATTTTTTGATATCTTTTAAGTGAAATACTGTTATCATGTTTAGCAATAAGAACAGTTAAATCTTTTTGCAGAGTTCCAGTTAAAAGGGTCTTTCTTTGACTCAGGGAAAATATTTTCAAAAAGACTTTCTTTCTAATTCAAACATGAGCAAACCACTGATTTTCCAAACATAGCTCTATAAATAAATAAAAAAATTGTAATTGAAGTTATGCTTCAGCATAGTTATGAGAGCACAAGTTTATTAAGACAAGTAAACGTGATATATTTAGGGTGTGCTTACAGTGTAATTTCTCCGTCCTTCATGTTTCACTGCTTTCTCTATATGACCTCAAAGGGGAAAGCCTACCTTGTCACAGTTCTGCTCAGTGGTTCCCCCCAAAAGGAAGTAATGAAATGTTAGATATGTCATGATATAAGCTGTTGGTTACATGTTTTAGTGCTTCATAAGTGTTTTAAAGTCTTTTAATAAATCTCTGGGGTTTTACCTCTTTGGTGGTCCATTCCATGCTGTGGATGTTTAAGTCTGTTCATTTCAATATATGGTTATGCTTCAGCTGCAGTTCAGTGAGCAGCTGAGACCATCTCGTGTGCTTCTGTCTGTGAGATGAGCCCTAATGCCTTAAGTCTGAGAATGCTTTACCTTCAAAGTAAAATAGACACTCTGTTTATCCTCTATGCCCTACCTACCTTGAATTGGGCAGAAAAATAGACTGCGTTTACTGGTGACAGGCTGAGCGTACTGGCCAGTGACTGTGCTGCTTGGACAGGAAGCCTATGGGAGCTTCCCTGGACTCCTTGGCACCCAAGCTATTTAGTGAATGCACAAACCAAGATCTAAACATCACTCAAATCTTTGCTTTCCAGTCAAGTTAATTTCAAGCTGACCTCTGTATTCAGAAGCTATTAGAAAACACAGGCAGGCACAGGGAAACTCTATTGTGGAAGCTTTTTTGCATAAGGAAGTAAGCTAGAAATTGATCATTTGGCACATCCTGAAGACTTCTGTTGTTGATATGGAAGTACTAATTAACATTTGCAGTTGGTCTATGGTATCACTCTAATACATTTAAGGTAATTCAAAGAGTGGAGTCTGTAATAACACTGTGCGTATGAAAACACACTTTTAAATTTGTCTGGATTTGGCTTTTTCAAAATTCGGAGTTTCTGGCATTTATTCCTTTAGATATTTGTAAAAAAAGTTCTACTGTTAGTAGTACTGTTAGCAGTGAATGATTTGCAGTGAAATCAGCTGCAGAGCATGGCATTCCACTTTATGCCATGTGCCTGCTTTATCTTAAGTTTGAAATGCATTGGTTTTATGATGATGGGTTGTTTGTTTGGGTTTTCTTTGTTTGTTTTGTTTGTTTTGGTTTGGTTTTTAATTGGATAAGTTTAGTTATTGCAAAAGCAAGACTATTTGTAATGGTTTGGGCCAAATATAGTGCAGTCAGATGCTATGGAAGTTTACCTTAAGAGCTTTGACAACCTCTTAATCTTGATATGTAGCACACCATCTATTCTAGTCATGGTCATTTAAAAAACATGTAATGCATGTCAGGCTAAATTGCACACTAGCTGTTTGTTTAGTATGGATGCAATTACACCATAAACTGAATTGCAATTAAAACTGAAAAATGAACCTGTAGCAATATTTTCAAAATCTATAGATCTTTGTGCTAAACTACATTTTAGATTTTCCCAAACAATTTATTGTCATCTTACTGCCTGTTAATACTCCCCTCTTGAAGAGGTAAGGGAAAATGAGCTGTAGGGGCCAGAGATTTACATTCTAATTTGACAAACTTTAAGTTTTAAGCTTATGTATGGTTCTAAGTAGGGGTGCAGGACACTCTGCAGTATTAAGGTCAGGTTTTAGCTCTGCCTGGAGATTCCTCCTGATCTGTGGATTGTTTTGATACCTGTCTCATACTTGAAATTTTTCTGTCCTCGCACTTTCAAAACTTCCATTGACCAATCTCAGTATTGATTAGTCATGAACTGTAATGATCCCTCTTGCTCGTCTGATATCTTTAATCTTCTTATACATCTCCACAGTTAATCAATATTTATATTGTCATGGAGGCAATATATCCACAACCAGGGTCATGCATCTGCAAATCCACAGAGTGTGTTTGTAAGACAGACTGGTATAGAAACAGCTTAACATTTTCCCAGATAGAAGAGAAATGCATTCCAACATGTTGTAAATATGAAGACATTTATGATGGAGTTACCTGTTACCTGTAACTGCATTTTCTTTCTACCAACAGGTCCTATAAGCAGCATTTTGGTGAATAAGTATGGTAGCCGGCCTGTGATGATAGCAGGTGGTATCCTGTGTTCATTTGGAATGATTGCAAGCTCTTTCTGCAACAGCGTCCTTGAACTATATATATGTATTGGTGTGGTTGGAGGTAAGAGTCCTGTTAAAAAAGTTATGTTATATTATGTTTTATATATATTACTATATCAAATTATTTCTGATAATGTTCTCCCAGTGAGCCTTCCTGATCAAGAATCCTCTGTGTACAGATGCAATCCAAGAAGGTAGCAAGATCAGTTAATTTCAGCTACCTGAACAATCTAATCCTTTAAATTAGCTGGTAGGTTGTTAAATTATTTCTTAGGATAATATAGAAACAATTCATGAATTTATTCAGTCAATGATATATGTATGGACTGTTCCGCACCGCACTATAATAATGGTATAAAAATTGATTGGCTCATGACAGCACTTATTACAGTCATTTGCATACAATTTCACATTCATTCTTCTAGCTTTCTATCATGTTGCACTGCAAGCAGGGTGAGAGAGGCTAGCAGAATTCTAGTAAAATTTTGAATGCTTGTACCAGTTTTTTTAGGTTTGTACATACATATAGTCTCTCAGAAAAGTATAAACTTTCAATGTAATAGTTTTCTGTTTAAAATCTGCCCAGAGTCAATAATGAAATTATTCATAATTATCTATCTGAGGCCTAGATATCGCCTAAAGCAATGAACTAAAGTGATCGTGATGCCAGTAAATTAAAAAACCTCCTTTTCAAAAGTTGTGGGGGTTTTTTAAACTCCCTTCTCAGAATAAGGAAGGTGAGGTGACAGGTAATAAATGAATACATATTCAAGCTCATCTTTCTTTATGTTGGGACTACAAGAGTCCTTTTTTATTCAGTTATTAATTCTTAAAGCTCTTATTTTTGGCATCCTAAACTTGGGGCCACTGAGAGAATAAAGTCAGAGTCCAGGAATGGGCCTATCAGAGAAGAAAACTTCTCTTCTGCACCATCAAGCAAATGCATAGCTACTTATATCTTATTTCCCAGATGTCTTTATAGAGAGAGAAGGCCTAGAGGTTCAGCTTAGGGTTCAGCTTATACATTAAGCTGATGTGGATGGGTCTGATCCGACGTGTGTCCTCTATAACTCTTCCATGTTTAGTGGTGACATGGGGAAGGGGAGCTGAATATGCTCTAAAATAATTTGCTATTTTAAGCTTCAGTTTAGCAGACAACTTGGACCTTAATTAGGGTTGGAAATAAAAAAATAGGAGATTTATACATTTAAATGCACCCTACATTTGTTGGGGCTGAGGTGACATTTAATAACTTCGATAAAATGAACCAAGAGAGAATTGCATTATACCTTAGCAAATATAAAAATGATAAGTCAAGGAGTTGATACCATCATTCTTTTCAATATGATTGCCCTGACTCTATCATTGCTGAAACACATCAAGGAGTTTTGGCTTTTAATGCAGTGCTGCAGGGGGCAATGGACCAAATGCCACCTGACACAGTTTTTGCATTAACACATGTAAACAGCAATGAAGCTATATTTCATTCTCTGATGCTACTTGGTTTCTGTCCTTATTGAGAATCACTGGATCAGACAGTAGTCATTTTAAAAATAACTTGAAAGTGGTACAATATGTTTTTCAATGCATGACCTGCAATAATATTGTCTTTTATGTGTTGTTTAGGTCTGGGTTTAGCATTCAACTTACAGCCTGCCTTAACCATGATTGGCAAGTATTTCTATAAGAAGCGTCCCATTGCTAACGGATTGGCCATGGCTGGAAGTCCAGTGTTCCTGAGCACATTGGCACCTCTCAATCAATTCCTCTTTAATGCTTTTGGCTGGAAAGGAAGCTTTCTTATTCTGGGAGGACTTCTTCTGAACTGCTGTGTGGCTGGGTCACTTATGAGACCTGTTGGACCGAAAAAAGTCCCAACTGTGAAAAAAGATGTTGAAAAAGGCACAGGAGATTCTGCCTTGCACAAAAACAACAAGAAGTCTTGTTGGCAAACTATGAATAAGTATCTAGATCTGTCCCTCTTCAAACACAGAGGGTTTCTGATCTATTTGTCAGGAAATGTCATTATGTTCACTGGTTTCTTTGCTCCAATAGTATTCTTGGCTCCTTATGCCAAGCATAAGGGAATTGATGAATATTCTGCTGCTTTTTTGCTATCTATCTTAGCCTTTGTAGACATGTTTGCTAGGCCTTCAATGGGACTCCTGGCAAACTCCAGGTTTATCCGGCCAAAGATTCAGTATTTTTTTAGTTTTGCTGTCTTGTACAATGGAGTCTGTCATATCTTGTGCCCTCTGGCAACGAATTACACTGGCTTGGTGATATATGCTGTATTTTTTGGGTTTGCATTTGGAATGGTTAGCAGCGTTCTTTTTGAGACATTGATGGACCTCGTTGGGGCTTCCAGATTTTCCAGTGCGGTTGGACTTGTCACTATTGTGGAATGTTGTCCTGTGCTCATAGGCCCTCCTCTAGGAGGTAAGAATCTGTTTCTTCCCATTTTTTCAGACATTACAGCATAATCTTGCGATTTAACATTGAATAAATCTAAACATTGTTCTTAATGTTATTTAATGTTTTCGCTATGACTAGAAGCGTAGTGTAGCAGCAGTACACTGCATCAGTTATCTTTGCAGCTGTAGGTTCACATCAGAATCTAAAGGCATTTATTGCGTGCATTTGCAAAAAAAACTGATTAAGACCACATGTCTACAGGCCTCTAAATCCATGTGGTAAATGTATGTTTTCCTGATAACACACAGGGCTAGTTTTGCAACCTTGAGTTACATATATTCATCTCCAATTTGCTCTTTGACAATGAAGTTCTTACTCTCTTGAATTGATTGAGTCCATTTTTGTGAAGATCTCACAGAGTGGCTTATAAATTCTCCAACCTAGTGACAGCTCCAGGAGCACTCGCTTACACAATTTTAGTTTGTCTACACAGAGAGGATTGACATTTCCAGAGAGAAGAAACTACAGGGGGGTGTCAGAAGAACAGGGGCATCCACAGTAGCCTAGGCAGGGTGCCTGCATGGTGGGATTCCATCATGGTTCCAGGAGCGCTGTGACCTAGCGTGATTACACACCACAACTCTCCTCACAGCCAGTCCTTTCACGTATTTCTTTTAGCCAGTAGATAGGGCAATTCAGAGTGTGAACTGGCTGAAGGATGGCAATGTTGCCAACTTCTCTCTTTCAAGTGTAAGGGGAGCCTAAAGAGAGCCTAGATGTATAGCTTAGACTACGTTCATGACTTCTTGACTTCTTACAGCAAAAATGATGAAATTTTATGTAAAATATTTTCTATTTACTAGCTTTTTAGTCAATATTTAGTAATGCTTCTAGTAAGCTTTATAATTTTAATGTTTCTGATGATATCTGAGACTAAAAAAATAGACACTCTAATCTTGTTGAGAAGCACTAGTGTGTATCTTGGTGTGTGTGTTGCAGTGTAAGCCCAACAGTATGATAATATAAAGATAGTGAGATTGCCAACTTTGTGAACATATACTATACCCACAGAAACACTGCCTCAGAAGTCAGTAAGATTATGTGTGCCTAAAACCATTTCTACATATTGAAGTGTTTTAGATTATTGTCAGTATTTCTATGAAAATAGCATTGTTGTGTGCAATTTTAAATATGCCAAAACAGTTCCACTCGTTTCAGTAAAATAATATTTGTACAAGTAAATTTTTAGTACTTCTCAAGACAGTCCATATTTTTATCATCATTTAGCATACAAATTCATTTTGGTAAATGTAGAACAAAATATATTTTTCTCACACAGACTCTTCCTGTGCCACCTAGTGGGGGGTCTGAGCCTGTGACCTCTTGAGTCCAACCTTTTCAGTCAGGTTCTGAAGTCAGTGTTAACTCTAAAAATATTACATCTAATATTTATGGGGTAATAGCTTACATAACTATTTATTTTTCAGTTTATTAGCTTTTCAGGAGTTTTGAAAAACATTTGATTGTGCTATAGCTGTATGAATAATTGATTTAACTTGTTAGATAGAGACAACAAAAGGAATGAACACATGAAAAGGCTAAGTTCCAGTTTTGACTAGTTCGTGTTCTTTAAAATATGCTGAAGTAATGCTAATTCAAAGTTTCATTTTTAAACATCAGTTTTATGAGACTGCTTATCAATAAAAATCAGCAAATTGCAGTATTTACACTAATAAGTGAATTGTACACTTGCAGTGCTATTTTGAGTTTTTCCTAATACTAGGTTTGTTGGGAAAAAAAAAAAAAAGAGCAGTCTAGAATAATTTAATGGCTTGTAAATCTGTATCAGGTGAACAGGTTACCATTATGGCTTCAACCCAGTAAAAACATCTAAATATATACAAAATTGAAGCGTACAGGTTATCCTGTGAATTTCAGTTATAGTGTAGCAGAGTTCAGAGCTAAATACTTGGATATGTACAAATGTTGATTTGGGAATTGTGAACATTTAGAAAGAATGGTTCATAAATAGAAAGAACTGGGTTTTTTTCCTTGCCATGACCAAATTAATCTCAGAGGTGTGAACCTAATTTTTACATACAGTCCTCATAGTTTAAAGCTCATCAGTTGAGCATGATGGCTGAAAGGAGAAGCCTTTCTATCTCTTTCACCAGTCACAGGAAAGTAAACTTAAAAGACAGGCAGGAAAGTAAACTTGAAAGGCAGGAAGCTGATGAACAGAGGCAGCAGCTGAAGAAGGCCCATACCTCTTTATCCTGTTGTTGTATACAGCCTCAGTGAGTACCAGGCAGTCATTCCAAAACAATAGGAAACACAATTAGCACGTGAATAAAATGAAAGAATGAAAATAAAAGAGCTAAAAAACTGTCATTATTCATTAAGCTTTACTTACATTGTTCTTCAATCTTCTATAATTGTCAGTGACTCCAATGACAATTGCTAGCTTCACTAATACAGGTTTTGTTATAGTTCCACTGCCTATGTTAGAAAATTTTAACATGCTGAAAATGCTTTTCTGCTCCTACTTCAAAACCAAAGAATATAAAGATATTTCTCCAAGGGAAGGATGTGGGTTGTATTTGGAGTCCTAGTCTAAATACTCTTTCTCTTTTTTGTCTTTGTATTCCAGGTTGGTTAGTAGATGTTACTAATGAATATCAGTACATGTATTTTGTCTGCGGAGTGATTGTGACTGTGGCCAGTATCTGGTTGTTCATTGGCAATGCCATCAACTACAGGCTTTTGGCAAAAGAAAAGAAGCTAGAAGATGAGAAGCAAAAAGCTCAGAAGAATGCTGACTCAAAGGAAGTGGAACCATTAACAAACAATGAGAATGAAGATGCTTCCAGCAGAGCCGACAAAGCTCTTGAAGATCCCTCAGAAAGAGAAACCAATATTTAATCTGCATTATAGCTCAGAAGACTTCCATTAGGAATCAAGGCACAGACCAAGTTTCGTGGTAATAATGATCAGTCACAATATTGGATGGGAACAGATTTTTGCCCCATGGCAAAACTTTAAGTCAAATTGCTATCTACAGTCTATTTATTTCAGCGACACAAAATTAAGATTACAGAGGTAGTGATCCCATGCAAGGGAATCCATCAGACTTTGATTCTGGACAATCAAGAGTCAGGTAAACCAGACTATAAAGCCTTCCAATTACAAAAATATTTGTTTCAAAAGTATATCTAATACAAAAGTATCTCCTACTCTTATTTGGGAAGATACTTGCATTCATCTTTAGAGTATGGTTAAAGTCTGTTGAAATAATCTACCCAAACTCTACTTACCGCTAATATTAAAGAGAATATAAATTCAAAGATTTGTTGCAAAAGAGACCAAGTACCTGACTGAAGCACACAGAAACTTTTTTTGTATTTTGTATTCCCACTAGATAAAAAATACGTCTATATAAACAATTATAATATGGATGTAAAAATTAAGAGTAGAAGATGAACAATTGGTGGGCACCATCTCTAAAAAACAATAAACAGCTGATTTATAATATATTCCAGAAGTAGTTTCCTCCTGTGACAGCTGATGACATTGTACTTCAGCATACACATTTGAACAAAAAATACATTCAGACCTCACTAATTCAAACTAAGCTAAAATCTGCCTGTACATAAAAGATTTAAACCCAAGATTTGCATTGCTAACAAGTGTGGCAATTAGTTTGATTATGCATTCCTGTGTGGCTGAATGATTTGGATCAGACTGTGAAGCCTTTTTCCTAAAAGGACTAGACTGAGAATCTGCTGAAGTTAAAAGGATACTAACCTTTGGCTTTTGTGGCGCAAATCAGTTTCGTGGCAATGACTTCAAAGTAAATGCTTGGCTTTATTGGCAAGTCATTAGTTGTTTGATGGTTTTCTGAGAGGAGATTTAAGGTCTAACTTCAGGTCTTTGCAGATAGATATCTTCATACCAGTTCTCACCTCCCTTTCACATGAATTTGGTGAAAAGCTACTTCTTTTTTTTTTTTGTGTAATGCTGCTTTGAGCAAAAATGCTGCAAGGCACCTTGACAATGCCAGTCTGGAAGCTTTGTGCAGGCAGCTTTGTCTGAAAGCTTTGACATATCGGTTTTGTGCAGGATATTTAGTCTTGTGTCTACAATTTCACACAGACACTCTCATAAATTAAAATGTACACAATTGTCCTCCTCCTTTAGACAAAAGAAAGCATAAGTCTACAGTTTTACTTTACAGAAATCATTTAGCATTGCATTTGAAAGCTAAAAGTGCAAGCTTCGGACGGTAATAAGTGAAAATATTTCTGTTGTATTTCTAGGTAAGGAAAGGTGCTATTTGTTTCTGAGGCATATAAATGCCTCAGAAATTGTGAAAATTAAGGGTCTGATTCATAAAATATTTATGCACCATTAATGCAGGATAAACCGACATTCAATTACAGGAAAAGAATATTATTCCTTTTAGTCCTCTTCTAAATCTCAAAAAGTTGGAAATACAGTGCACAGAGACCTAGCTGTAATAAACACACTTTGAAGTGCCAATAACAGAAGAAAAAAAGTAATAGTAAAATCTAGCAGAGTGCTTTTAGGAAGTTATTTCTTAATATTAATAATGTTATTATGTTCAATATGATTCTTTTAATTTTTCTTGCAAAAATTTTGGTTTTGCTTATTTCAGTTTTTCTGCATTATCATCTCATATATTATGATGTTCCACAGTAGTGCTGAACTTTTTAATTATGTCAGCACTGTTTTGAGGGAGAAGCATCACAAATCTACTCTCAGCATGGTACGGAATTTAATAACTACTTTTTACCGAATTATATTCAGGAAAACCAGACATCTCCAGCAAGTCGTGTAGTTTTATAGAATTATCAGCAACAAAATATAAGGATTTCAGAGTTTTGGGAGAAAATATGTTTTGTATGTTCAGATTTGAGCAGTGTTCTGTGTAAAGGAGAATGATTTAGTCCCAGTAAAATTATAATTCTTCTCCCAGCCCCCAGCTTCAGAGAGGAAATAAATACTTGGAACCTTAGCCCTGCCAGTACCCCATGAGATAAAAGCATTGCTCTCTTTTTTGACTATTCAAACATACCGAGTGAATTCCAGGACCTGTGGAGACCCTGAGTGCCCACAGCCAGAGTGTGATGAGGGCTTTCATAGACACAAACATTTCATACAGTGAGGAATATCAGTTATAAATACTGTATTGCAAAAGAAGAACTGAAATTTTAGCTAAAGAGTAGTCATCGGGAACATCAGTCTGCTCTTAACAGCAACTGTTAGAAAGGCAGAGATTATTTGAAAAGAGATTAATACAGAGACTGAATGAAAATGTCTGGGGCAAATTTGTAGGTGCTTATTATCTCTTTGCAAAAAACAGCATGATTAAGAATACGGGGTAGAAGACAACAAGTGTCAGCTTTTAAAGGTTGTTAAATGTTGCTGTTGCCAAGTAAAAATGATGATAAAAATGTCTCTCAGGAAGTATGCAGGCAACTTGCCTATTCTATGCAGGATCTCAGAATACAATACAACATGGCATAGGAAATACGGGAAAAACAAAGTTCCTTGAGCCACAGACACACCTGACCACCAGTAACAAAAATTATGTTACTATCTCGGAGGAATTAAAAATTTCTATAAACCCTCTACAGAGATGCTACTCTTTCATCTCTGGTAAAGTGTGTTAAAAAATAATAGGAATGAAAGAGCTGCTTTACCACCACTCACCAATGTCCAATTTTTAATCCTATAAGGCTAAATGATGCAGCAGGCAACTGGAGCAGTATAAATTAGGAAGACTCAAGTGAAACATTTACTTAACGCCTCTTTCATTACTTTTCCTCTTAACACTAACAACAGAATAAAAACCATCAGCATACTCTTGATATTACTGAATATTAAAGAAGGTAAAATCCAGAGATGAATGAAGAAAATTGGAACCATATCTATGCAAAAACTGCCTGCAATTAAAAACCCATGTCTTCCAAATAACACGTCTGTTGGGGGCAACTGCCTCATAGTAGAGGTAGGTCATATTTCTAAAAATAATTATAATAATAAATTGCCTTGAATCAACTATATACTGAGCAACAAAGTATCAAAATTAGTATAACTTGCCTTCAAAGCCCTGAATATCACTCTTACTTGCACTGACCTGTAATTTATACTGTAAATCACTTGATCATTACATTTCTGCTTTTATGATTAGACCTGAGTATACACACCATCTCTCTAAATTTCCCTGGTTTCTTTTAATTACCTCACCCTCAGTCTGAACCACTGCAGAGTCAGGACTAAGAGACTCCCCCGCCCAGTGATGAAGAAATATACTCAAACTTCAAGACATACCACATGCATCTGTTAATGCACTATAAAAATCTGGAGTCTCTGTCAATCAGTGCAAGCAAATCCTTAATTGGTCTTATTCTCATCTGTACTCATGTATAGCTCATTCTTTTCTCTGCCCCAATATGACTAAGCCTAATTATCCTCTTGCTCTTATTTGATCAATCTAGAAAAGATAATACCAACATTTTAAAATTAGTAGGAAAGTGGATAACATCAATAACACTTTTTTCCCATTTAACATCAAGGTTAAATTTCAAGTTGTTTTAGAGAACACATCCAGATACTTTTCTCTCTTTAGTGTTTTGATGTAGAACTCTCTACTAGCTGAAGGGTTCTGTATTGCCCTTTCCAACTCCAGAGAAAGACTTCGCAATATTAATTTTCCATATTATTTCAGGAACATATAAAAATTTCATCCCTCCCACCTTTTTGCATTGAACTATGCTTACAGTTGCTGTCAGTTCTGTATTTCCATTTGGAAGTTCAAAAAAGCATATTTTTATATGAAATCCTGTAGCATAAGTAGTCAGACTACAATGCTTTTATTTCAGGAGTGTGACTTGTGAACTGTTTTGAAAGAGCTAGGGAAAATCTGACTTCATGTTCAGATTTTTTAAGTGATACTGTCCTTATGAGAGGAAGTTCTACTTACTGCTGAAGTGAATGGCAGCAATTTCACTGATATTGTGATTCAAAATTCATGTGACTCTTAATGGTCGCTTTGCATATCAGCACCTACTGTACTTAAAAACATTTGTCAATATGTACATGATTTTTCCTCTCCGAGAATTCTTTTTCCTCCTGAAAGTTTCCCACCTCCACCACCTCACCATATTCTCCATTTTGATGTAACACAAAGAATTTGGACCGGGAATGTAGTCACTTATCTTTAATGCTTTCTTGTAATTGTTTTCCCTGAAATGCCACATTTGCCATGCTGCCAAATGCAATGTTTTTCACTTGCTACTTTCAGGTCTGGTTTTGAGTATTAGTCGAGAGGTATTACTAAGATAGAGAAAAAGCTACAGATACCACATAAAGCCAGATTTGGGGCAGCTATCAGGATTTCACTAAACAAAGCCATTGACTGCTTTTATAGATTAACATGCTATAACTGACGCTGACAATTTTGCTTATAAAAAAACTGAATCAGGCAACTTTTGTTAGTTTATCTATAGATGACTATTTTTCTACTCACAGAGAGGAATATAAAGGGAATTTTAAAATAATTATTTTCAGAGATAGCATATCAGTTTTAACAAGGCTGTCTGGATTTTTTTTGGGGGGGTGCACTTCTGATATTTGTGCATATATATACATTGAAAATGCTTGCATGTACTATCACCTTTTTGATCACAATTTGCAGAAGCATTGCTATGTGATTTCAACATAGTTTGCATGTTGTAGTTTTGCAGTTCAAATTTTTCTCATCATCTACCTCTTAGTTGAAGTTTGGAGACTTGCACAATGTGGAAGAATAGAGTAAACAAAATGCATAATGGTAAAACCTGTACAGACTATTAGAAAGTCTCACAAATATTTGAAGCTGCTTACAGTTCTATTTTAAGGCAATGCATATCTATGACCAAATTCTTTGTATCAATTGGCATAGCTTTATTACGTCTAAAGACTTAACCCATACTTATGAAGTTTTTGCATCACTGATCTGGTATAAAAATTCAAAGTGGGATTTAGGTATCCAGAGTCTACTGATCTTTCTGTGAGATGTTGGCCTGCCTTTCTTTTTTTGTTTTCTTATAATTTCTGAGTTAGTGAAATTAATAAAGTTAATACACCCAGTTTTTAAAAGTATTACAGAACACTTTGCATTTTGTATTCCTAAAAAAATAATGGTTTTTTTTTTTTTTCAATTTAGAAATAATATCAAATTTTAGCTTGTTTTTCCTTTCATGGGGCAGTTGAGGGAGATGATCACAAAATATTGGATTGGGGCCAGGAATAATAATTGTTCTTCATGTGCTCTTTATAAAACCAGAGATGATTGTTTCTTCAAAGATATTCTTCAAACCATTCTTGCCTTCTAGGATCTAGTACAAAGTCCACTGAAGCTGACAAAAATACTTATCAAAGAGCTTTATCAGATGTTGGAGGTGATGTGGTTTCAGTGGAGGCTTGAGCCTTATTTTCTCCATACCAGATCTCAGGAGTATCACCAAACATGGAATTTGTTATAACTGGCAAATTTGCTATGCCTGCATATTCCTAACTAATCAGTCCCTGAATTAACGCACAATGTGTATTATTTTAATATTCTATGTAAATAAATGAATTTAAAAAATCCCACCATAAACTCTGAATGTAGATTATAAAATGTAGAGGACATATTTAAATAAATATCCAAACAAATCTGCTAACCCCAAAGGAAATTATTTATTTCCTTTCAAGCCTTCTTTGAGCAATGTATAATCTTTCTTTTATTTTCTGAAGAAAATGGTTTATGTCTTTTGTGAATGTATATAGAGACATATATATATAAGGGAATATATATGCAGAAGTGGTATGTGTGTATATATGTATTCCCCTATATATAAAACTCTAATTTATATATATTATATACATTTATGTATATATAAAATATATATAATGTTTTAGAGTAAGTTGCAGTAATTGTGCCTGATAAATTAAACATATTTGTAAACAAATAAAATACTTCCACAAATAACAGAAAAAATTAAAGCTTTTCTGTAAGCGTATGTGTTAATTTTCACTTTCTGCCAGATTTATTTATAGTAGAAAATCATTCAGAAAACTGCAATATTACATAACACTGGTTTCCAACCATGATACAGTTCAAAGCAGCCTAAGATCACCGAGAATTTTCATTGATGTAGGTGGTAAACCCTACATTGTTGGTAAAGTTTGTTGGGTGTTTTGGTGACGGAAATCTTAACTAAATGATCTTTGAACAGACTGCAGTAGACTGAGTTTTCATTTATTGTGGTATGTATGACCAGTTCTTATAAAGTACTAATGGACATGATACTCTTGTAACAAGGATGGAAAATGAGAATATACTTGGGCCTACAAACAAGATTCCTGTTAAATTATTATGGGAAACTCTCCAGAAAACGAGTCACTAAAAACACTGAGAATTTATCATACCTTTTAGAGGTTTTGCTGTTTTTATTTTGTCTGCAAGTAGGCAAGCCCATGAAAAGTCTGCATTTGGCTCTCTCTCTTTAAAAAAGTGCTACCTTAAAATTACTGAGAGATTTTTTCAGAGTGGTACATAAATCACTTAAATATATACCCTTCCTGAAGAGTGATATAGCTGCATTTTCCATTTACAGCCTACTGGGAGAGATCACCATATCTGCAGTTTATCAACAGACCTTGGTATTGCTATGCAATAATTAAACATGCAGTAGCCATTGTTGTTGTCTAATAAAGCTGTTTCTTCCTTTTTGTATTTTGCAATACTGTATGGTTTTTACTTGAATATATTGGCTAGATTTTTTTTTGACAATCATTTATTAGCTAGAGGTGCTATTTATGTTCCAAAGAGTTCTGAGTGAATGACAGCATTCTCTTTCTAGATGCCAAATCCTTTTCTTGACCTGACAAAATTAATTGTTCATAATGTATATTAACCCTGTAAAATGCTTATGCATTGCATTTCATTGTATTTAAACACATTTTTGCTCATTAATTTCTATTTCAGACTTGTACTACTGTGTAATATGTCAAGTTTGTCCATATATATTTATGGAAAATTACAACAAAAATTGTGTATAATAAGCAATGGGGGGGGAGGGGGGAGGAAGGGGAGGAAGAAAATAAAATTTCCATGTAAAGTTTCTGAAAGGATGTAATTGCTGTTTTCTTAGACTCCTTGGTAGTCTTATTTACACCTTCAGTGTGCAAATATTCCTATGTTATTGATTGATTCATTATTCAAATGTAGCAAAAAATCACTTATCCTTGCATACAGAAACAGAACTTCAAGATTTCCTGTGTAGAAAAGATACTACCTGTAGTAGAACATGCTACCAACTCCTTGCTATTCCTGATTCCACCATAACTAAGATTTAGTCTCCTACATTACTCAAATACCATCTTTACAATAAGAATTTTTTCCCCATTACTTGAAATGGGATGTTTTTCTATATTCCATGTACATGCAAAATCATTCTTCAATCATCAATACTTATTTTGATACAGAGGAAGAATTTATCCATATGGCTTGAAACAGTGTATGTAGATAACTATTCTGCAGCAGCTTTCTAGATGTTAGAATTTCCTGAGTTTTTGTCAGCTGACTTGTCTACAATTTCTAGCCTCAGTCAAATGGGTGTTTACTTACAGAAGGTGATTAGATATTTAAAATTAAGATATGAAGGAGATGTTTGAGACAGTATTAGAGATACTGCCTTTGCATACTCTCTAAACACCTTTTACACAGACACACAGTAAATTACTAGGAAATAAAGCTGTGACACACGAGTTATTGAAGAAGAAAGAAATAACTTTATCAAAGCAAATGGTTGTTATTTTTATATTTCTAGTAACTGTAAAATCTGTTTTCAAGGAATTACATCCGTAATCCTCTTGATGTGAAAGTTTTGATTCAGCTATGAGAATATATTTAGATTTTGTTTCATTATAGACCCTTGTAATATATGCATATCTGAGTATTTTATTATTCATAAAAATCAATTTTCAGACATTGGCCAAAAAAAAAAAAAAGAAAAAAAAAAGAATACGTAATGGTAAAATTGTCCCTTTGGCACAACAAACAAGGTATGATATTGAACCCTACTCAAAGACTTGGTGATATCACTTTCATGCCTAAGAATATGTTGCCTCACAGAATCTGATCGCATAACTAAAATATATTGTTAGGAAATAAATACTGAATTCAGAAAAATCATTCCTCTTCCTGAAGTTTTGATAGTGTAGTGGCAGACTTCGGTCTGTAGTTTGTCTCCAAGATCAGCTGTTACTCTTTGCCCACATACGGTATTTTATTCTAACAACGAGCCCTTTTAACTCTGCAGGTTTTCCCGAGTTCAGTTAATAGGTTACATTTGCCACTGCAGTTCAACATTAATAACTTCCACAGTATTATTCTGATCAGGAGTTAAAAGCATTGCCATTCAATAAAGTTCTTAATTCGTAACATTCAGTCAACCCTTAACGTATGTAGGGTCTGCTGCTCCAGCTGGTTCCCTCTAAGTCTATGGGACCTGATGGGTTTAAACTGAGAATACTCAAAGACTTGGCTGAAATCATCATGAGACCTCTATCAATCATTTTTGAACTATCTTGGGAATAGGAAGAGAACCTTGTTGACTGGAATCTGGCAAACGACTGCATTTGCCTTAACACGTTATGCTTTGCTTCATCTTCTTATGTTAAGACAGTCCCCTAGAGATCAGGGATACTGATGACAAATGTTGAAGGTGGATAGGGAGGGGGGACCCCAGGCAAGAGGCTTTTCCTTTTACCCCTAGCTCCGGGGGGAGCATGTTCCCTCCCTCTCCCCCTTTCCACGTGGCGTCTCATGGCTCTCACAGAGACCACAGGACACCAGCAGCTGGCAGGGCAAGCAGGCAGAGAGAGAGTTTATTCTAGTAGAAACTTCTTGCAGGATCCTATTGTATAACGTAATGATGTTCTACCTCAAAACTCGTATATGAAAATATGATTCTGTTCTTTCTTTGACTAGCATGAGACCTCCACCTTGCTGTCTTTTCTGTACAAAGGAACTCTTGACCTAATCCATGGTTCCACTATTTTTTCTCACAAGATATAAAAAAAGATCATACACCTGGACAAATTCCAGAATCACAGAGACATTGATATTTTAAAGACATTTTAAAGATTGATGTTTTAAAGACATTTTACCCATTTTTTTGTCCATTAGCACAGATGGATCTTAAAATATCTGGAACTATACTGTCTTCAGTTTAAAATTTTAGAATTGCATATTTCACATATTATTTGCAAATTACCTCAAATCAGTATTTCAAATTAGTATATCAGAATGAAAAATAATATGTCATATCTAATATTAATCCTAGATGATTTTCTTTTTTAAGATTTTGTCAAAATTTGGAGTAATGGGCCTGGAACGTCATTACTTCTCCTCTTTCATGTGTTCTTCTCCTCCTAACTTTTTCACTGATACTGATCAGACGAAAAGTACCTATCAAGTATAACAATATATTTTAGCTGCTGGACATGAATCTTCTTTTTAAAAAAATACACTCAACAGTAAATAAGGTAAAAAAAGAATTATTTTCCAACCATTTGGAAAAACAAATCCTCTCAGGCCTAATGCGGTAAAAAGCATCTCTGAGATATTTCTTGGAAATGGCAAAGTC